TATCAACCCCTATGAGTACCTCTCACGTGTTGTTACCCGATGATAGCCCCTTACTTGATGATCCCTCTTGCTACAGGCAGACAGTAGGAGCTCTTCAGTATGCTACTCTTTCTCGCCCTGATATTGCCTTTGCAGTTAATAAAGTATGTTAGTTCATGTCACACCCCAAAACCGGAACGGCGGAAACGTTAAGGGTGGAGGACGTCATGTTTAGTATCACGAGATATGTATATGGTAAGCAAGTAATGAAAAACCATTTCATTTAGAAAGAAAGTGTTTACAATGTGTGTGTTCACAATACATAGAAGTCATAACAAATAACAAAACAAGACTTGAAGCTGTAATGCTCCATCTTCTGAATCCCCAGCACGAGCACCTATCTAATAGTCTCCTGAGAATACAAGTTATTTGAAAGAGTTGATCAGCAATTAAGCTGGTGAGTTCATAAGATTTTAGTGATGTGAGTAAGCTGTAAAGCGTTGTGGAAAATGTATATGTAAAAGTGATGTAAGTTGTAAGTTCTGTTTTGAAAGGTTCGCCTGTTCCTCTAGAAAATCATATATTTCCTACTTGAATGAAAGTTAAGTAAAATGACACTACAAGCCTTTCTATGGGTACTAAGTGGGTACAAGTTATATATACTCAGAGTAAACAAACAATCGATTGTGCGCATCTGCCCCAAGCTCACAACCCAACGGGGAACAGAAAGTAAGGCGGATAGCACACATTCCATTGGTTGTTAGATCGTTGTCATATATAACCCTGGTTTATTCACTTGTTACTTATGGAGTTATTTGTAATGGTTACTTTATATCTAATGAAAAGTTCTTTAAGAAAACCTATATTTCTTATAGTAAAATAATGACTATGGTGACTACTTTTATAATAGCTTTGTTTATACTGCTATATATAATCGGATACCGGGTAGAAAGTTAATTGAGTGAATCTGCCATACGCCCACAATCCAACGGGAACAGGAAGTAAGGTGGAAAACACACATTTAACTATCTATTGGGTATTAGTTTTATATATAAACATGGTGTATAAACTAAGGTGTTATAGAGTTACTCACCTAAAGTCTCTAAAACTGCACTAGCTTAATAAAATGGATTAAGCCCTTATCTGGAAATCTCTAGTTTTGTATACCAAAAGTACTGACTTTGAAAAGTAAGTTTTGTACTAGAAAAGTTGTGTGTTGACTCTGTGTCCTATAGCCTGATCCATACCTGGTACCCTTATGATGACTTAATGGATACTAAGCATAGATATATATATATATATAGATTCGGGTAGATAATAGATTGAGTGACCTCATTCCAAGCCCACATCCAACGGGAACAGGAAGTGAAGCGAAGAGCACACATCCTATTAGCTTTCGGAATCTACTAGTATATATGTATCCTATAGTGTATACATTAAGGAATCATAAAGCTAGCATTATGATCCTAACCTTTACTCGTAGACTTCTACCAAGGCATCTTCTGATCTGTGTTAAACCCGACTGTTCCTTTATCAAATGTAAAAGTATATTCTCCCTAGTTTATAACTATCTTGACTAGAAAATAGATCAACTTTCAAGTGGTACTGATACTTTATCAAAGTAATGGGAAAAGTAAGTACACATATGTCGTTTATAATGACATGCGGATGTACTATTAACCTAAAAACATATTTGTTTTATTACGGTCATAATGTGAAAGCTAGAACCCCTACTAAACGCTCTCAATGTAAAGAGATTTAGGGAACCAAACGCGACCCCAACAATTTCTTGCAAGCCGTGTAATTCACATTAAAGTCATATGATCATGTATACCCAATATAACTATCACTAATGCGTTAGTGATTGATTGATATAATTAGATCTTGTTTGTGTGTTCTCATGCTATAGCAACTTAACCTGTTTGTTATGTTATGTTATGGTAGTTTGATTCTCTTCACTGTTTGTTCTGTTATGGTATTGTTTGATTCTCTTCACTGTTTATTCTGTTATGGTACTGTTTCTTTGTGTGCTTCATTGTATTAGAAGTAATGGATAGCATCCTCCTAAACTGTACCTATAATAGTTTACTACTGTTCTACCTGGACTGTTACTGAAAAGACTCATTTATCTACTAAGTTATGCTTATACTTTAAAAACAGAGTTTGGTATAACTATAAAGTAACATAACTTTAAAAGAGTTTTGAAATGTTTTGTCAACTTATAAGTAACATAAGTAACATTTTAAAAGATGTTTAACAACAAACATTTACACAATTATCATTGTGTTCAACCTGTATCCCCCCCCCCCCTTAAAACAGTTAAAATAGTTAAAAGATTCATTGTGGGGTATGAACTCACCTGATGTGGGTGATTCAAATGGGTATGCGCATACGGATGAGAAGTTCCACAAATGAAGTCCCGAGACACAATAAGTCCTAAATGATATATAAGGACACATATTGACATGAATATAGTGTTTATAAACAACTATATGAAAGGAAACACCTTCCGGGACTAGGAAAGACCTTGACCAAGTGTTGGAATCACATGTGATTCAACAAAGGAAGGTATAATGGCACTCACATGAGTTTACTACCATGGGTTTATGGCCCAATGGAGTTTACGGCCGTAAACTCATGGTTACTCATGTGTAAGTGCAAGTTTGAAGGCTAAGGGATGATTTAGGGACCTTAGCTCTACCCTAGGATGAGGAAGACCACATTCTTTGGAGTTTTTGAGGTTTTCACAGCCCAAATGAGTTTACAACCGTAAACTCATGGCCATTTATGTTTATGAGGGTTGTTTAGGGTCCTAAAGGTCATAATCAAGCATCCTAAATTCAAGTCTAAGCCTTAGGAAGTGTTTGTGGCATCAAAACACCCCTAACTTGAGTTTTCGGCCCTTGGACCATTTAAGATTGTGTTTGCGGTCGTAATCACCTATGGGTGATGGTATTCTAATTGTTTTGAGTCCTAAACACATCAAGGTAAAGTGCTAGGCTAGTCTCTTGGCTTAAGGAAGGCATTTGGGGCATTTTGGCACCATGAAAGGGAGTTCACGGCCCAAGAACATCCTTGGTCGTGAAATCTCTTCTAACCCTTGTTTCTTAGTGTTTTTAAGGCCTAGACATGTCAAGGGTTGTTCTATGTTTGGTTCCAAGGTCTATAGGGACATAAGGCACACTTTTGGCCTCAAATTTAGTGTTCACGGTCCAAGAGGATCTTGGGCCGTGAACACCCTTTCCTTGGGATTTATGGATGATTTCCATGTTATCTAGTCATGTAGTACCCTTTAATACACTCTAGGGTTAAAGTGCTTACAATTGGGGGTGAACGGATAAAGATCCTTGGGAGAGAAATCGGGTTTTCTCTAGTTGGAAATGAAAGAAATGAACCAAAATGGCTAAGTCTTACTTATATAGTCTTTAGGGTTTTCGGTCTCAATACCATTTTGGAACCGTAATTTCCAAACTCTTGAAGTTTTGGGCACTCATTGCTACATAGTAAACCCTAGGGTATCCTCTCTCCTGATATCTTCTGAAGGACTAACTTCAAAACACTCAAACTTATCCTCAAAAGTTTGAAAGTTAGCAGAAACATATTTGACTTCAATTGCAGTGGATGGTTTTACAGAATAGAAATTTTTGGGTTGTCACATTGAAGTTGTTCACAGGGGTTCTGACTTGGTTCTTTCCTAACGAAAATATGTTCGTGTGATCTTACACCGTGCTGGTCTTACTGAGTGCAAGCCAATATCAACCCCTATGAGTACCTCTCACATGTTGTTACCGATGATAGCCCCTTACTTGATGATCCCTCTTGCTACAGGCAGACAGTAGGAGCTCTTCAGTATGCTACTCTTTCTCGCCGTGATATTGCCTTTGCAGTTAATAAAGTATGTCAGTTCATGCACGCTCCAACTGAGAACCATTGGGCCGGTGTCAAACGCGTCCTTCGTTATCTTAACAGCACTATCGACTGGGGATTATGGATTCGACATAATACGGGGTATCAACTTCAAGCCTTTTCGGATTCCAATTGGCACTCCAATCTTCAGGCCTTCTCGAACTCTAACTGGGCAGGTTGCCCAATCGATCATCGATCCACGGGGGGCTTTGCTATCTATTTAGGTTCGAATCTCATCTCTTGGTCTGCTCGCAAGCAGAAAACTGTATCTCGATCTTCAACAGAGTATGAGTACAAGGCTATTGCAGATACTGTTGCTGAATTGATTTTGTTGAAGTCCTTGCTTCGAGAACTTGGTTTGGTTAGCATGGCACCCACAGTTTGGTGTGACAATCTTGGTGCGACATATCTCACGGCCAATCTAGTATTTCACGCTCGTACTAAACATGTTGAAGTTGACTATCATTTTGTTCGTGAACAAGTAACTCAGGGAAAACTAAATGTCAAGTTCATCTCTACAGACGACCAAATTGCTGATATTTTTACAAACCCCTGTCATCTCAGAAGTTTGAGTTTTTGCGTTCCAAGTTGCAGATTGCTAACCGCCCTGAACTTGAGGGGGAATATTAACCTGAGTTGATATTTTAGAATTAGTTTGTTATTGCTATTATTCTTTAGGGTATCAAAGTGTAATTATTATTTTCTTTATATTTGGTTGTAATCTCACCAAATGAGTTGATGAAAACCAATGATATCAATTTCTTATTCTCTTTACACCTTAAAGTGTACAGTTTTCAAACTTGATCCTTTAAAACTTCCACAAAAAATCAGCTATATACACGATGGTTGTAAAATCGAATTTCTTTACCCATTTCAACCGTAAAGCTAGCCTTGCAGTGGCTAGTCAGATTTTTCATTTTTTTAAAAAAGGGATAGAACTACCAACATTAAATGTCTTTGTTATCCTTTTTATTTGTTACATACCCTAGGTTAATTGTCCTCCAAATTTACAAATTAGATTGTAATTAGCAAGAGAGGTTTGGTATGGTAAATGAAAAGGAAATATCATTGTGTAGGAATGAAGAATATCATAATTAATTAAAGTGATAACAATCCTAAAATACATGACTACCTCAAAGGAGGACCATTCCATTGATTGAGGTATATACACACACATGACATGACATCACATACATATACAAGCCTAGTAATTAAACCAAACCATCTTATATACCAATATATAGACACCCGTTTCTAGCTACTTGATGGATACTATATTTGAATCGGGTTCGATTTCAACTTGAGGTGATTGCTCCCCAGTTTCAGATGGGCTTCCTGGCTTAACAATCTCCACATCCTCAAGACTATCCCCAGATGGACTATCCGGTTTAACAATCTCCAAGTCTTTTAGACTCTCATCGCTACCCTTTTTTGGCTTCTCAGGAGGCGGCTCTTCTTTCTCCTCCATCATTTCAGCACATAATTCAACCTGATTATATGCTGAAGGCAGCTTCTCCACAATCTCATCAAGCTTTCCTGACCGTTGATCATCACGATCCATCTCAATAAGAACCTACATTAAAACACACAACACATCAACATCAACCATGCATGCATGCAAGAAAGAGAGTGACGTAAGCATGCATGCATGTTAATTGAATTGGTTACTTGTGCAGCTCGGTTTCTAAAAAGTGGTAGAAACCGATTCTTGCAGAATACGTTGAAAAGAGCGGTGCCAATGATCAATGGGATGGTGGAGGTGGAAGCACTGCTCGACTTTTTCATTCCAAACAATATTCCAGCGACTACTTGTGTCAGTATCAAAGAAAAGATTGTCGCATTATGTGCTAGAGGCCAATAACTTCCATCTGTTTGGTATTTCACATAATAAACATTCATGATCTGCATTCAACCAATCAAAACATCATTAACTAATTGTTACATAAAGTATAAAATAATCGAAGAAGATGTAGCAAAAGATTTACCTGATTTCGATATACAAGAAAAGCAAAGAAAAAGTAGACGAGCAAGAAAGGAAGTATCAGAGGTGCCAAAATGCAGAAGGTGAAGCCAAGGAGTCCAAACAGAAGGACTCTTGTAACCTCTGTGTGGTACGAAAAAGTGATTGGACGTACAAAATCATCGTCCCTCATCAGAACGCATTTAAACAGCCAGTTCCCGACAAGTGGGACCGGCTGCAATAGTTCAAACGACAGACCTGACCAACCTGACGTCATCACATATGTCATAAAGAACGATGCCTGTATGTATTGTTTTCAGAAGAAACAAAATCATCAAAATATGTGTATTACTTAACAAAATAATCTTTCTTATTAACTAAATATTATTATATATATAAGTACCTGTCGAGGTATCAATTCTGCAAGTAGGGTTGCCAAATCTTTAGGGCTAGTAACTGTAAGCTTACCCATTCTCTCAATCCAAGAACCCGAGAGAATATTTGAAAAATAAACATTCCAAAACATAAAGATTAAAATTTTGGCACATGCGCTTCGTTTTCTTGTGCTACGAGAGACAGCTCCTTCGAGTGTAGAAAACAGCATCATCAATGGTGGAACAATGGTGAGGAAAACAGTGAGCACTAAACTTGGTAGATACCCAGTAATTAGGTTAATAACACTCCTGTCTCTTACTCTTCTTAGAAATGGAAATGCAGCCTGGAGACGTTGGATCTTCATCAGACCTTGAACGAATGTTGTAGGTAAAAGAAACAAGACGCTGAACACAATTGATGCTATAAACACTGATATTTTACGTATCCATAACAAGTTATAAGGTACGCAAAGATTTTGCCAGAAAACATCACGTGGTTCTGGAGCTAATTGGGTCACCCATAACATCGGGTCTGCTGATTGGATCGTGTGTGACACCACTAATGCATCATATCGACTCTTGAAGAACACCAATGCCGCTTCACATTCCTTCATTCAGATAATCGAAAAAACCGCATTCAGATATAAAAAGATTCACGTATGCTAACATTTGCATGAGATATGATTCAGACCTTTTCTCTAAGCCCATCGTCAACCTTTTGACCTGTGCATTTGTGTTCATGGCCAACCACTTTAAAAGAGTTTGATCTTGCTCCACAAAGCCCACATCGATCAGGATTTGCATTTGGTTCACAGCATTGTTTAACTGGAACAGTTGTCATCACGTTATATACCATCTCTGCATCCTCCTGAAAGTAACAATATAAAGCGTATGAAATTATGTCGCTAGTTTGTTGCTAAAAAGTAAAACTCTTTACCATAAGTTGTTGAACAGCACCAAATCGATAGACAACTTGGTGGGAAATGTAACTTGATTGATAATAATTGCTGAAGAATTTCCCGACGGATTCATTATATGATTCTACTGGAGACCATGGAACACCACGAACAAGAACAGTGAAGTTACTTGGCCTTGTTGGAAACCTATTTACTTGATCCAATCTCATTCTCGCCACATTTTTAAACTCCTATGTATATAGCGCTTCATGTTACAAAACTATTATTCTATTTCTACCAAAATAAAAACTTAAAAAAAGTATCGAATCACTCCTTACAAAGTATAGAAGTGTGCAAGCACAAGCAGATACAACGTACAAAGTGAAGCAATGAGCCCACAGCCTGAGAAAATGCATAAATGGTGAGTTAGTTTTTAAGGATATTTGAGATTTTCAATTTTTTTTATTTTAGTCCAAAAGTGCATGCATGCATGAATATTTACCATCTTGAACCTTCCCTGACATTCCCAATAGTCAATAAGTCCATGGCTGTCGCATCTTCAAGCCTTACCATTCCTTGCCCAAAATAGTTCAATGGAAGCACAAGAAAAGTGCAAAGAATGGTAGCGATGGCAAAAATACGAATACTACAAAAATAAATGTAAATGTTAAGTGAAAAAAAAATGTATATTTAATTATGATGGAAGATATAGGATAATAGAATGTACCTAAAAACAACGATTCTAAGAAAAACGACTGCATCTATACCCCCACAAGCAAAGATGTCTTCTTCGGATGCATCCCAAGCTTTTTTAATCCAACTAGCGGAAGGTGTAAATCTTTCAAAACAAATATTGTCGCTTCTTGTTCGACCAGTAGCAATCCTTTGACCAAAGTAAACGTTGACATTAAGTGGTTGTTTTCTCAATATGGAATATAGTGAGAACATCCCCACTGAAATCCCTATGTTCATACCAGCCGAAGTCAATAAAGCTGGTATGTCCATCTTTCACTCCTACTATCTCCAACCTAATTGCATTAATTAATTACAAATCTGCCACCACATCAAATGGAAAAAACCTAATAACAAAACCCATGCATTAACCCCTAACCACACACACACTTTTTACAAAAACAACCTCACGCCTGCCTGCAACATCAACAACATAATATTCGTTATCAATTAATGTTACTATATAGTAATATCCAAAATTCAAAAAATACCCATTTACAATATGCATGATAAGTTTAGGATAAATGAATGATACGCATTTTGCATAATGATTAATCGGGAAGGAAATAAGAAAGTAACACCAAGAAAATCAATGGATCTTGGAGCAAATTTAACACCAACAATTTCGTTTTGTGAAAAAGTTGAATGTGGCTATCAAATTTCTTCCTCCCTTGATAATAACATAACAGTTTTCAAATGCGTTGAATGGGTTGCAAGAATCGATTTAGATTAAATTTGTTATATACCCACGCAATTGAAACTTGTTCACCAACATAACATAAGATTTTAAAGAACCAAATGGGGAGATATTCAAAGGATATACAAAAATTGAAAATGAAAATGCAGGTTATACCTGTTAGGAAGGAAGTTATCGAACAGGAACAGAGATAACAGTTGCAGTGCGAAGATGAAGATGAAGATGTTATCGCAATTGCAATTGCATTTAAGCTTTGTTGGCGTAGCTTTAACTTGAAATTGGAAAAAAGAAACAAAATTGGGGATTAGTAATTGAGAAGAAACCCAGAATTATAATCAATTTTGTTGGGCAAAACAAGAATAAAGGAGAGAAATTGAAAGGAATTAAAGGAGGATGACATACAGAAATGGTTTGAAGGAAAGGGGGGATTAGGACGAATCTTCTTTTTTTTTGTTGTTGTTGATTCAATAGCGAAACCCCCCAAAAGATGAGGCTCAGAAATTTTCGGAGGATAATGATCAGGCAAGGCACGAAGGTAAGTGATTTGAATCAAAGCAAGAAAATAGCCGGGAACCGTAATGTTTTTATTTTTGAGTGTTATGTTATTTGGGTGGCAATCTATAAACCAGGAATTGCCACGTGTTGACATCGGAATTGAAGAAGGCGAAATAAACTTCGTCTCCTGCAAATAGGGGAATCGGTGAGATCCGTCGATGAGCCCAAATTTTATGATGGCCCATAAGTCCCAACATGGGCCTGATGTAAAATGCACTAAATATCATGGAGGGTATAAATTCTTTTGTTGGACCAATTTAACTAATATGTTTAAAATATATTAATGTTTAGTGATTGATCCCATTACTGATTAACTACATATTTCAACATGATTATTATATATTAGCCTATATATACCCTTTATTATATGATATGTGGGGGAAGGTGAGCATGGACCAGAAGTGCTCGGACAATATTGTTCATGGAGCATTCGTACGAATTTTCCATTTTGATAAGATGTATGTAGGGAGGAGAAGTGGGATTAGATCACCTAAGTGGCAAGATGGTCATGAATATGTTTGTTTTTGTACTCTCTCCATTGTCCAGTGTTGTAAAACTCGCCAAGTTTGCTGATTACTCCTCCGAGTACTCGCTACTCGACCACTTACCGAGGCGAGTTACAGAATCTTGAGTATTCCCCGATCGACCCTTTACTGGACTGAGCAGTGTTGTAAAACTCGGTCAACTCGATGATTAATATTTATAATATACTTAATGATTTATTATTTAACACACACGCATGTAATTATTACTAAATATACATCTTAAATTTTCAGTAATTATTCACAAAATGAGATCATTTTGTCTTTTTTTTAGTTTTTGTGTATTCATATATTATATATTTCAATCAATTTATGATTTTAACATATATAATTTCCCTAAAAATATTTCAACATGAATTACCAAATCCGAGTACTCTGAGTACTCCCAAGTACTCGCTACTCAGTAGTCGACCGAACAGGTACCGAGTAACAAGTTCTACAACCTTGCCATTGTCACGTTGGAAAATTTTATTGGTGTTTTTTTTTCAAATTGAGTTTGGGTGATTTTGGTTAATTCAAAGGATTTGGAGAAGACATGATTTGTGGTTGATTGGGTAAAACTCAAAGGTACTTGGTATGATGGTCCAAAAATATGACATAATCTCGGAAGCCAATTAAACTAGGAATTGAAGATGTCCAAATGTTTGATTGTATAACATCAAATGCAAGTCTAAATGAAACCGATGTGTGCCAAGGAAGATTAATATTCATGTTTGGCATTTTTACAGGATTTTCTTTCTACACATTGGTGAAGTAGGGTGGAGATGGCGTCACTTTTATGTCCCATCTATTTTGTGGTTGTAGCGACCTCGGACCATTTGTTTATCATTTGTGAATTGGCTAACATTGTTTGGATAATGTTGTTCAAATCGTTTAAAAGATGCATAGTTGGATATATATCAAGTTATTGTTTTCATAACTTTATGGTCGATTTGAAGATTCTTGAACGATTTGATTTTTGTGATAGTTTTCCCCAGCGAGATGATATTTGATAATATTGTTGATGCCTCGTTCAATTGGTTTGTACATTGGAATCCTAAAGTTTTTGCCAAGTGGCTTGAGTGGATTAAAAACCATTACTTGCAACTTTTGTGAAGTTGTTTCTTTCTACCTTTTTTGCTAGTTTTCATAATAATATTAAGTTGTTCTAAAAAAATAATGGGTGTGTTTGGCAGTAGCTGGATTTTAATTACTTGTTTTTTATTTGGATTCCTTGTTAACCCTAGGTGAGAAAACAAGGAAGGTAAGTAAAGACTTTGGGAGAGAAAAAAGGATTATGGGGAATAATCTCCCTTGAATTCAAATAGGAAGAAACATAAATGGTGATATCAATTACTTTAAGTGATAACTAATGGTGCAATAGGATTGAATTTGGTACGATATAAATATACTATTAAATAGAAAGTTCCATAAGCTGTTTGGTGATCTTTAGATTATATTATAATACTTTACTAGCTAATTCAATAAAACAAAAATAACAAGACATTAAAGCAAATGCGGAAAGATAGAGACAAAAGATGGGTTAAAGATAGATTTTGTTTTTTATTCTCTTTCTTTATTTGTGAGCCACAAAAATATAAATAGAATCGAATATATTGAGCTGGAATTTAATTACTTGTTTTTTATTTGGATTCCTTGTTAACCCACCAACACCTCACTCTTACGTGTCTTTAGTCTTTTCTATTTTCCTTAAACTTAAAGCCACCCACTAAAAGATTTTATATCGTTATATACACCACAAAATAGCAATATACTTTCTATTTCTTTATTATAATAGAAAATTGGAATATACAATGCACATATTGGGTAGATTTTTATAATCAAAAAGAGATGTTATAATAAATAAATTTCAATAAAAGTACATTGCTATTCCCGCTCCTAAACATACATAACTAAAGTGTACATATTTTGAGTTTGAACAAAATCGAAAAAAGAAAAAAGAACAAATATCAAACAAAAGTTGAAAACTTGAAACTCACACTACAATCACTAATTATAGAATACTACCTCTCATTGTGGAGGAGGAGCTCTGTAATATGCAGCCACTGTTGCAGGGAAGAACATTTGTCTAACTCCTTCCGCCTTTATGATCGGAAATATGATTCCAGAGGCACCCTGCAAGAAATAGCAACATACTTTCATTTATCTATTTATTATATTTACAACATATACTATTTTGAGTAAGAAAGAAATTCAAAGTAAGATGCTATAATTGGAAAGATTTGAATTCACACATACCGAAATCAATCTGGCGCTAATCCACATCCGTTTAAGGGAAGGAAAAGGAAGTAACAAACGGCCAACACCATATACTGCAACTGCAAAGAAGTGTATGACTAGACTCATGGGCCTAGGGTTTAGGCCCGATAGCAAAGCTACAGGCCCATTTGAGAATACACCTCCAAGGCTTAAATAGTCAAAACATGCTTCTCGCATCTCTTGTCTTGCTTTATCAGGTGAAGCACAAAAGACTTTGTATAGTGCTCCTGCTAATGTATTGATGGTGGATGCCACAGGCTACAAGATAGAATACATGATATGTATATGTATATGTATATGTATATGAGTATATGAGTATATGTATATGTACCTTTCGGAGGGTATAAAAGGACTCGAGATATTTGCAGAGAGTATATGAATCATGGAGGTCACGAAGAGGTCTAAGGAGATCTCTCAAGACAACAATATCAGACAATGCAACAGTTATTCCACCACCAGTGAGAGGATGACGCATGTTGAAAGCATCCCCCATTAGCAAAGCACCTGGAGTTGGTTGAGGAGCAGCTGGCATGCTTCTGTTTGGCATTGTCCTTATGTTGCCTTTCTCAACTGCTGCTATGAAACCATCTTTCAACTCCTCAGGGATCTAAATATCCCATTTTCAGAACAATCAGAGTCTGCTTAAGTTAGGGAAAAGGAAAAAAGAAATCTTTGTAATCATACCTGAGGAGCAACAACATTCTTTAGATACTTTGACAAATCACCATTTGAAATTGAGGGCACTTTTTGACCTGGAACATCGACTAGACAACGGATTTCTGTACTACTAATCCGGTAGAACAGGATAGGTGATGGATCTGCTAAAACTACATGTCCATGGTTTTCATATGGGAGTTGGCAGTTTTCCAAGACTAAACCAACAAAACAAGAAGGCACATCCACCTATAATTACACAAAAGTCAAACTTAATGGTTAGTCTATACTCTACAAGCAACCTGAGAAAGTCAACTCAAGTAAAGAATATGATCACCTGAGGATTGCAAAGAGAGCGCCTCAAATTAGAAAAGCATCCATCACATACAATGGTTAATGCTGCATATGCTTTCATTTCTTTCCCACTTTTGGTCTTGTAAAGAGCACCTTTAATGGTACCTTCTTCTTCAAGAAGAGATACGACTGTTCCTTGCTCCAAACGAATACTATATATTGAGAAGGTGAATGTTTGGTTAACATTGTGGAACAGTTGGTAAAAAGTGAAAAACAAGTGGATGAAAGAAAGAATACGTGGGAAGTGATGAAGCTTTTTCCCGCATTCTCTGTATGAAACGACCATTGTGAAAGCTTCTGCCAGCAACATCTGCATGAAACTTCTCCAATGGATAAGAGAGTCGAGTGTTCTTCCCATCCTTGAAAAGAGCATATCCAAACACCCTTTGAGCATCAATATTTTCCACACAATCTGTAGTAACAGAGAAAGCAAGATCATCACAGAATATTCAGCAAACATAGCTTGATGTGAATGGTTGGTTATAGGCTTATAGCTCTAGCATCTAGCCTAGTTATTGTTGATAACAGTACCTTCTAGTCCCAATTCCATCAGTTTGAGATATCCACCTGGTTGTAACAGCTCACCAACAATTCGATCAGGCTCTGTTAGGTCTCTTTCAATCACATGTACACGGCGTCCATCCTACATTACATTGTGTATGAGGTGGTGATAATCATTTTACTAGCACTAAGTGAAAACAACTATGAAGCATAAATTTGTTATAAAGCCCCAAAGATCGAAGCTGATAAACCAGAGGAATGATTTTAGGGTGCAGGATATTAGCTCAGTTATCTATTATTTTCTCTTTTGTTTTTCGTGACAATGGTGATTACTCCGCTCTGTTTATCTAAAATCTAAAGCTTACTTTCATATGGAGAATATAATTGCATGTATATGTGTTCATTTACAGTCTTATGCTAATTACAGCGCCTTTACTTTTTGGACGTTCATTCAGATGGAAACTCGATTCAATTCGAAATGCAAACTTATCGTTGGAAAAACAAAAGGAAATAGTTTCAGGTTTTATGATCACATCGTTAACTCCACTAATTGACTAATTATGAAACGAGACCGATTTATATTTTCAGCTTGTTTTACAAGTATAAAACAAATTTCTGTAGACAATAACAAGAGAATCTGATATCGACGTTGACAGCAGTCGAAGAGAAGAGAAGTAAAGTCTCAAGTTGTACCTTGGCGAGAGTAAGAGCGAGAGCAGCACCAACAACACCGGCGCCGACGATAATAATATCGGTCTCGTCTCCAGATCTGCATTCTGTGGTG